GCCGGCCGCTTCCAAGCCAACCGTCCATCCTTAAACGTAACGGAAAACATTGTAAGTAATTCCATTTTATTTCAGAATAAGACGTTACATTTTAAGCCAGTAATACTTTCAGATAGAATTATAAAAGTTAGAAATGGTTTTCCCGAAAGTTGAAATATTACTGAAACAAATCAAAAAGTTATACTTTCTTCGTGCTAGACTTCTGTGTGGTAAACTTGAGACTTTCTTTTTTTTTTGCCAAGTGTTAAGTTACTGTTCTCTGAGTTTTAGTGACGTGGAACATCTTTTTTATGTACAATTTTTCATGTTTCCTCTTAAGTGAGTTGCTTACTTATAATTTGTTCATTTAAAAATTAGGTTGCTTCTTTCTTAATAACAAAATTTCACCCCATTATACTTAACATTATTATATTTAGACTTTGGGTTTTTCTCTTCCGAAATGAAGCTTTTTCGTATTTACGTCATCAGATCTGCCGGTTTTTCCTTTATAGCTGCACTTCCTGCACAGTCTGCACGGCATCTCCAACGTAAGATGACAAAACTGTGCTCCACCGTTTTCTCCTAGCTTTTTATTTTGCTTTCACATTTATGTATTTCAACTGCCTGATGTAGGTGATTATTCAGGGTGTTATGTATGATTTTTTTTCTTCCACTTGGACAGACAGTTTTTCCGGCACTATTTATTGAGTAATTCCTTTCTCTCCCAATGAAGTGACACGCCACCTTTATCATAAAGGAAGCTCTTTCATGCAAGTGGACTGTCCTCACGTCTGAATTTGTCCCACAGGTGTGCCTGCCCATCCTGTGCTGGCGCCGCACTGCAGCTCCTAGGCAAGGCGCATCCCCCGGTCACTAGTCCTTACGACCAAAGATGTCCCGTCAGACCCCACGCCTGCCCTTCTCCATACACACGTTAGACACATTTTGTCTAGAGAGAGAAAGTCAATGAAATTCTGTTTAATGTTGCATTAAATTTATGTATTAATCTGAGGAGAATTCTTGTTTATTTATTCATTAATTAATTTATTATTGCCTTATTAATCAGATCTTACATTCTGTTTTTTGATAAAATACTATGATTTTTTAAAATATATATATAGTTATTTTGATTTTGCTTATCCTTGGGTGTGAATAAAATTTCCCCCTTAATTTTAGACTAAATTTCCTGCTCAGTCCTAACTGGTTTGGTATTGAGTCTCTTGGATTTTCTATGTACACAGTATTTGATTAGTAAAAATTAAATTCAATTAAATTTTAAAATCCTACTTTCTTTTTCATTAGCATATCTTTTAAAATGCTGAACACTAGAAATCACCTGATTCTGGGGAGACACTCTTAGTGTGTCACAACGTGAATGGTTCTAATGAGAGCAAAGGGAACTTGAGACTCTGAAGTCACAGTTCATGGACAACACAGCAGGAACGACAACAGGGCGAAAGCGGAGCTAACCTCTGTGATGCACACACGCACGCCTGGCCGCGCTCACCCGGAACACCCTCGGGGACGTAGGAGTGACGAGCACACGTTCCACAGCGAGCGACAACCCCATCACACACCACGCAGCCTTGGGAAAGTCCAACGTCCGCTCATGGGAGAGGGAGGCAAGAATGAGTATCGGTGTCAAGTGTTCAGGATTATTAGGAAAGAGAGTTTCGACCTCGCAGAGCCCTGAAAGGGTCCCAGAGACCCCAGGGGTCTGCAGACCAGGTTTTGAGAGCCCCTGTTGTAACCCCTCCGAAAGCCTCAGGGATGCTGGATTGAACTGGTCCTGAAAGTGGAGTCTGGGAAAGAAGAAAGACCACAGCACTGGCGACCTGGGCTTTCCGGCCGGCTTAGGGAGCTTTGAAAAGGAAAAGCCTCATAAACGCTCGTGAGCTGTCGGCTTTCTCCTGCAGCTGCAAGCTTCCAGAACAGAAAGGACCCCGAGGGCAGCCTGCACGTCATCCCTGCTCCTCCGCAGCTTTCCCTCAGTTCCCAGGGATGTGTTTAGCTGAGCCGTCAGCTCCACACATGTGCACACCATTCCGGGGACGGCCGAGAACATTTGGACAATATTGACTCAATGATGGGGACATTCTGGCTCCAGACTGTGCTGAACTTTGCCCATTCCAGAAATATCCCATAAGGCATTCCCAAGGCTCTGAGTGATGCAGACCACATTTACCCACTTAGCAGGGACATTTATCTACTTCCCAGGGGCAAAACGAGACTGAAAACAGGGCCTCGGCTTCTTCCGGATAGAAGACGTGTGAACAGTGCCCACCATACAAAGCCTGCCTTCTCCCAAGGCTCACGACAGCTCTTGGAGTCCAGAGCGATTTTCTGTGGACCTGGTATCAAGCCCCACCCTCCCTCCCGCCCGTAAGCGTGGGGGTGAGGGCGTCACCCCCGGGACAACGGGGCCTGGGAATGACCACGTCAGCCCGCGGTGGTGAGCGCGGAGGGCTGTGTCCGCCCCTGCCGACAGCCTGGGCAGCAGTGAGCCTGCATTCAGCTCGCGCCCGGGCCCGGGGTGTGTCTGCCCGCCACGGGATGCGCCAGCCCTCAGGGCCGCCCGCCTTTCTATTCGGGACGCAGGGAGCCATCTGTCCGGCTCGGGCTGCTCGGGCTGCCACAACCAAGCGCCACGGGGGGGTAGCTGACACCACAGACGTTTATTCCCTCCCAGTTCGGTGCCTCTCATCCCAGATCAAGGCGTCAGCAGGGCTGGTGTCCTGTGATCATCCCTCCTGGGCTTGGAGAGGCCGCCTTCTCCCGTGTCCTCACATGGCTGTCCCTCTGTGTGTGTCTGTGTCCTCAGCTCCTCTAAGGACACAAGCCCTGTGGGATGAGGGCCCCCCGCAAGACCTCATTTCAACTTAATCACTTCTTAAAGGTCGCATCTCCAAACACAGTCACTTTCTGAAGTCTTGGGGATTAGGACTGAAACATGATTTTGGGGGGGACATGATTCGAGTCAAAATACTGTTTCTCCTGCAACCCATTTATGCTCCTTTAAGCTTTTCTCATAACGAGTCAGGAAGCAAACACATGCACCTCATTCACCTCTGAATCTGCAACACTTAGCAAAGGTTTCTGGCATGTAGCAATGGTTCAATATGCATTTTTTGAAAATACAGAAGTTCTACAAATATTCACTTGTAGATCCACTGGCATCACAAAGAGGAAAAATAGTAAAACAAACAAAAAATCCCGGGCCTCCCAGCCTCCAGAACTGCAAGAAATAAATTCTGTTGTTCAAGCACAAACCCCCTCCAAAAAAAAAAATCCTATTTTGAAGAGACTCCGTTCTATCCATAACTTCATAATAATAAATAATCATTTATTCTCAGACCATACCCCGAAGCGCTAGACGTAAGAGATTATTACGTGCTGGAATTATTAAGCCTTAAATTGCTTTCCTGGTGGTAACAAAATGATTCTAGGACTTGACTTAGGGTCTTCACCCTGTTTTAAAGATAGAAGAACTGAATTAACTCTTAAAGCATCATTTTCAGAAGGAGACTTAGGACCAATTGATCAAGTTGCTCACCGAGTAGCCTGTGTTTTAAACTGTGCCTTCCACAGAACAAAGCCTGCCCCGCTGTCGAATAATGGCACTTTCAAGACCCACAGCATTTGCAGATTAAAGGAAAATGAATTTGAGTCAAAATTTCCCCACACGCTATCGCATGATTCAGTTTCATTTGTAAATGAACTTCACAGCGTAAGTGTTTAAAGCACGAAAGTAAGCAAAACTGGTGGGGCTTTTTTCCTTTCTCCCCTCTCGAAATAGAAAGCAAAACAAAACTAAACAAAACGAAGAATGGACGCCCCTCAAGGCACACGGCAAAGCCAGGAGGGCTACATCGTCTTTCACACAAACTCACAGGCGTCTGCGTCTGGAGTTGCAGGGCCTGCGTCTGTGACCAAAGCCATCGCACGCTGGGTCTGGAACACGACTCCTCAAAAGGAAAAGTGCTGCAAAATGCAGCCAGCTTCTCCAAGGTCACGGAAAAAAGTCTTTAAAAACAAAGTCGTTCTGAATTCCACAAGATTGGCCAGAAGCTCAAGCAGCTCAGATTTTTCCCTGCGGATTTTGGCCTCCGTGAGCACCACGGATCCCTGACGTACCTCCGCGGGGAGCAGCAGAGAGAAGCAGGAACAGCAGCCCCCGGCCTGCGTGGGCCGCCCGCCCACGGGCCAGCTCCTGGGCCACGTGTGGGGCAGAGCACAACGTTAGAAGCGCAAACAACTGGGAGTGCCCCTGCCCTCAGATAGCCTGTCCCACAGCGGCACCTGAAGAAAGAGCTCGCTTGAAAAACGACAAGGGAGGAGAAACCGGTACAGAGAAGCCGCGTCCCCCTTTCAGAAGCCAAGTCCGCGAGACCTCGGGCACTTCGGACCCCACTTCGACGGGCCTGCTCTGGCTCAGAAGCCAAGCCGAGGTGGTTCTCCCGCAGTAAATGAGCGGGTCTGGCCCAGCCGGCGGGCCGGGCTCAGGTCGCCCTCAGCACGCGGGCCCCGGAGGGCTGGGCTCCTGGGGGAGGTGACAGCAGGAAACCTGAGACGCACTCCCGGAGACAGAGACCACGGACCCCGTGCGTGCGTGCGTGCGTGCGTGCGACCGAGGGAGGCTCAGACCCAGGGGACGGGGAAGGAAACCCAAGCACTGCGGCCTCGCCCAGAAGCCACCGTCTGCCTCTGCCGCAGGGCAGGCCCACAGCCCTCCACCCGGACTTCATTCAAAACAAGAAGTATTTGAAAAACCTTATTTTCATGTTCAAACTGTGATAACCCAGAACAGCAGGAAACCTTTGATTGTTTTGTTTGTTTGTTTAGATTTTTTTCTCTTCTCTGTCTCTCAGACAAAGGAAATTCTTTTAAAAATAAGGAATTTAGCAAACTTCCACCAAGGTATTCAAAACAAAGTGTGGGGGGTAGGTCTGGGCCTTGGACCCACAGCCACAACCGCGTTCTTTTGAAATCAAAACGGGAAAACGTGAGAATGTTTAAGTTTTTTCATGTGAGAGGAATCTGAAGTAGAAATGGGGACAAGGGGACAGAGAACACACGGGACAGACCCTCACTGGATGCGTCGCCAGGTGCCAAACACGGCAGGACGCAAGCAGGAGCTGCACTGTCCCCGCGTGGGGCAGCCCCTGGCCGGGGACCCTCCCCACCTTCGCCCCCGGGGCCCGCCTCTGGAGGACCGAGGCTGGCAGAGGTGACCTGCAGCCACCCAAGAGCAGCCTCAGGGCGGGGGCCATCGCCGCCCCTCCCACCCCTGGGGAAGGGGTCTGAACTAGCGGCCGGCATCCACACCTCACAGAGGTGTGGTCCGTGCAGTCCCCAAGGATGGACCCTTGGACACATGTTTTCTATTTGAAAACGGAGACAGCCCATTGTGTCATCTAGGAATCGCCAAGCAGAGAGTTTACAGCCCACATGCTAAGTGAGGAGCTCGGGACGGGGAAGAGGGGGCTCATGCTGACTCCGCACTGAACCCGTACGTCTGCCGTCGAAGTGCTTACAGCTAGTTGCTGGGCCTTCTGTGATCGCTACGTCACAGGCATTAACAAGACTCACTTGTGTAAGTGTCAGCCCATCATTCCAGCTCTTCAGCGTGTGTCAGAGGGTCCCAGGGCCCGGACAGCCACACTGATGGCAGGAAGTCCCACCTCGCCAACTCCCTCCCTGCGCTCTCGTCACCGTGGGTTCTGAAAGGACGGTTCCACCCACAGGAAAATTAGTTTTCGGTCCCAGCATCTCTGAAAACTTCCGACCTCACAAGAAAAGACCCATGAAGACGAAGAACGAGCACTGCATCACTAACTCCCACCCTTCCTCCTCCACCTAGCGGTCAGCTTGCGTTGCCTTCACTCATTCAAATCAAACTTCCAAAATTTCACAGGTCCCAGGTCGGGGGCAGAGAGCAAGAGGGAAGAGAGAAGTCACCAGGCTTTGTCACTACCGGCTCCTATTTTGTCACCCTCTTAGATTGGGGTTTCACGGCTGTTCCTGAAAACTGCCTTGTACCCACGGCCAAGATGAAGACGTATGTGGAACCGGGGATTGTGCAATCCGACTGCACCTCATTCCAGCAGCCCGGGCAGGGGGGGCGGGGCGGGGATGACTTGGACCATGAAGAGCAGCCTCACTTAGACAGAAGGGCCAGGGACATTTTATAGTGAGGTTTGTAACAAAACGTTTGGGTGGGAGGGGCTGGTTGTGCAGCCTCAGGGTTGCTGCTAATAAAAGTACTGGTGAACCGCTGTGCTAGGCGGCCAGACCTATGATGTCAGCGTTCATTTTGCACATAGGAGCTATTTACTGCCCCATAAGCTGGAAGACAGGGAAATTATAAATGAAAAAATAATTTCCAAAGCTGAAATGCAATCACTCACTTGACAGCACCCTGAGGACCACCAGGTCCATCTCCAAGGACTTCTGCAGCCAAAAGCAAAGCCCTGTGTCCCAAGTGGTAAAAACCTTCCTGCCCTGATTCTGTTTTCAGTGTTTATGCCACATCCAAGCCACGACTGGGTCAGCAAGTGATCTCTCGGGGAAAGATGTCCCTCCGTGTCCCAGTGCCTGCAGTCAAGGTGCAAAGGGGGAGGGAGGAAAGGTGAGGGGAAGAGAAAGGGGCCTGAGAAGGAACCCCACATCTTGGGCCCTCTTGGCTGGGGGTGGGAGTGCAGAGAGCCTACACCAACGTCACCTCTCTC